ATATTTAATGTCCATATGGAGAGGGAGCAAAACTAAAGAATTCATTATTTTCTCTCATAAAAAGCCAAACGTGCATGCGCAGATCTCTTCACTGTTCAACAATTTCTTGCCCATTTCTGTACCTTTCTCAGACACACGAACGCACACGAATCTATTCAGCTGAAATGTGACATTGACGCAGACACACACTTGTCTTTTTTCTATGCAGTCAGCTCACTCCCAAACACAGAGAGAGGAACACACACACACACACACACAGTGGAATCTTTTCATCTTGTAACCATGGCACTTGGTGGAATACAGTAGGAATCCAGCCGATAACAAAGTGCTTACATAACTATTGCATTGCCAAGCTCGACTCCTACCTTGCACACCTCTTTCCTTTTTTCTCTGCCTCTCACTTTTGTGTTCCCTTTCTATTTTTCTCTGTATATCTGTTTACACGCCATCGTTTGGCATTGCAACAGATTCATGCACGGGAAAAGTGCACCTTGCCTTTGGATAAAAGAGCTAAATCCCTTTCTTTGGTTCCCAAGACGGTTAAATTCTCAGGTTAAGGCCGCTCGCTTTGGTTTCTTACTGTAATGAGGCTACATTGACTCCCTACCACACTGGTACCGCTTCAACCTGCCAGTCCAAACTGGAAAACATTCATTATTTATCTCCTGCTGGAGAAACCAGTCATCTAAAGTCCAAACAGAACCTATTAATTTCCCTCAAAGGTAAAAGGCAACCAAAGGATTCCCGATTCTTACCTCCCGCAGTTCATGTGCCACATCTTTCAGCTCCTTGAGGATTCCTTCCAGCTGCTTGATCACCATCTTCATGTGGCTGCGGACCTGTTCTCTCTGACTGGGGGTCTCAGAGGGTTCCCGGGCTGGAGTTCCGCTCTGGGACATCCTTCACAGGCTGCTCACGGGCCGGGGTGCGGAGCGCTGAGGGCAGGGGCGAGCCGAGCCACGATCCATCTCTGGGGCCTCCGGGAGCCGCAGTGCTACTGATCCGATCTGGGGCTCGGGCCACGCGGGAAGGGTTCAACATCTTAAATATGCCTGGGCAGCCGAGAGACCTCGCTGGGTCTGGGGTCAAGCCTCCTCTTGCTGTGTACTGCGGGGCATCTCGGGACAGACGCGGATGGAACGAAAGGTGCCGGAATCATTGAAGGATGCTTAGGCTGTTAGATCCAAGAACACACACTGAACTCCAGGATGAAGAAGCGAAATGCGGTAGAACAGAAACAGGGTCTGTAGTTAATGGATCACCTCTAAGTGGGATCAAACCTGCTGATTTACAGTTAAAAGCCTGGATGAGGATACCAGTAAGTGCCTTAAATTCATCAAGACAAGCACCTGAGTTGGCACACCTATTCAAATTCATTCAAAGATGATATATTGCATTAATCCAAAAATAAATAAAGAAATACAAAAATGTTGATGGTTAACTTTAACGATTGTACATGAATGAAATAACAAATATACCACATATTAACATCATTTATTATTGTAGGTTAACTTCAGTATATAAAATTGTTGATAAGGTTAATTTATAATACATTTTGAATTTAATAATACATTTAAAATACACCATTAATAATGCATTTACAATTGCTTTATTTATTCAACTAGAAATGTAAAAAAAATGCATTAGTATATTTAGAAATGAATGTTAACCTAGATCAGGGTTGTTAAAGTTAATTAAAACTAAAACTGAAACTAAAACCACTTGAAATAAATATAAACATCAACAGAAATGAAATAAAATATGCAAACACTTTATTTGGGCTATTTCAGAAACATTTCTCATTTCAATTTAGTTTAACTTGATATACTAAGATATTTAAAATTAAAAATTTATAAATAAATAGAATGAAATAAAATGAATAGAACTAAACAGACATATAAAACACCAAAAACTACTAAAAATGACAAGAACATACAACTAATTTACTAAAAATTTAACTAAAATTAAAATAAAAAATACATACAAACTGTAATAGTATCTCAATGATACTAAAATAACACTGACCTGGATTAATAAATGCTGCAAAAGTACTGTTCATTGTTATTTTGACGTTAACATATAGAACCTAATTGTACCTAATATTTAACTGCACGAATATCGTGAAAAAAGTTTTTGTTTAAAAGGCTGTGGCAGAAATCACGTCTAAATTGGGTCAGTCCAGTTCAGTCATCATCTGCCCATCATGTCGCTCCAAACTCGCATGACCTTTTTATCAAAGTTATTAGCTATTATCAAAATGTCAAATGGTGATCACTAGCTGTCAAGTTTGGCTCTATTTTAGGAAAACTTTTTCCTTCAGTCATGTCTTATTTCATCTAGTGCACCGAGTGAGCCAGTGCTGCTCCCTTCAAAAAAAGACAAAATGCATTGCTGCTTTTATTTTTAATGCAACCCATCATCAAAGGCTTGCCTAAACCATTCCTTTTGTTTACACTACGCCTCCTACTCGAAGATCGGATGAAAAAGAATGACAGCATCTCCCTCAGCGTTTGTTTGCAAGGATGATCTTAGCCTGCGGCGGTTAGCATTAATTAAAAAGTGCAGCAGCAAAAGCTTGGGGGGTTGAATTTGAGTTTAAAGCGGCTGGGAGGAGATGCGAAAAGACTTCAGACTCGTGTGAGATGCTAAATTCCTGCAGAATGACAGAAGTGATGACTAATTCAGAGCTCTTTGTGCCGTTTTATGTAAGTTACTGGTAGAGTTACGCAAGTCTTTTCCATCTCAGCACAAACTTGCAGTACTTTGAAGTCAAACAGGGTTAAAGGGTATAAACACACATATAGTTGAGGACAAACAGACATATGCTCTCAAACACCAAGAGCATCTATTCTCTGCGGCCTATGATGGGTAGAGATGGCTTAACTGTAACCGTTTTGATCTATCGCAGCCAAACGGGAGGAAAAGCAAATGTTTCTGCGAGTAAAACTACCTGTACTTGCTGATGTGTCAGTATACCAAACACACACACACACGTATGTTTTTCTATCACGGTGGGGACTTTCCATTGACATCTAGTGTTTTTATACAGAGCTAATGTTATTTTCCATCCCCAAACCCTCTGAGAAACCTTTCTACTTTTGAATAGGTTAATTAAGATGTTATTTTGTATGTTTACGAAGCCACTTTCCTCGCCCCAAAATGTATGTGACTTCAGCTTTTACCGTCCTTATGGGGACATTCAGTCCTCACAATGTAGGCAAAACCTCTCTCTCTCTCACACACACACACACACACACACACACTCAAGCAGAGTCTGCAGTCTCATTATGTGTGATGTGACCCCATTATTGCACATCCCTGAAGTATCATTCAGCATTGAGTGTCAAGCATCAGTCAGTCCTCTAAAACAGAAAAAGATTTTATCCGACATTCACCATCTACACATCTTCCCCTGGACTGATCATCAATACTCCTTAAAGTAAAGCTCTAAAGCCATCCCATATTCTCCAGAACACACTCTCACACTGAATGCATACTCGTCTCTGAGTTTTTGACTTTATTTTTAGCCCGATCCATATGTAGTGTAGGCGTAGAGTTGTTTACTGGGCTACGCCGAGTCCTGGTGTTTATAAATAGCCGGAGAGAGCATTATTCCCACATCATCAATCACATCATCAGGCACGAGGGAGAGACTCGAGGGTGTAGTTCTGCTGTAGTCTGACCTCCCCCAGTTCCACGCCACACGGTCTGGAGGTGTGAGCTGGATGGGCTGATCTGAAGGGGAACAGATGCCGGTGCCCGGGGAGCTCCGAGGATGACGGATGGTTCGGGAAGGGCGAATTTTAGCTGGTGTGCTTGCCAGAGTGAACTGAAATATTTAATGTCCATATGGAGAGGGAGCAAAACTAAAGAATTCATTATTTTCTCTCATAAAAAGCCAAACGTGCATGCGCAGATCTCTTCACTGTTCAACAATTTCTTGCCCATTTCTGTACCTTTCTCAGACACACGAACGCACACGAATCTATTCAGCTGAAATGTGACATTGACGCAGACACACACTTGTCTTTTTTCTATGCAGTCAGCTCACTCCCAAACACAGAGAGAGGAACACACACACACACACACACAGTGGAATCTTTTCATCTTGTAACCATGGCACTTGGTGGAATACAGTAGGAATCCAGCCGATAACAAAGTGCTTACATAACTATTGCATTGCCAAGCTCGACTCCTACCTTGCACACCTCTTTCCTTTTTTCTCTGCCTCTCACTTTTGTGTTCCCTTTCTATTTTTCTCTGTATATCTGTTTACACGCCATCGTTTGGCATTGCAACAGATTCATGCACGGGAAAAGTGCACCTTGCCTTTGGATAAAAGAGCTAAATCCCTTTCTTTGGTTCCCAAGACGGTTAAATTCTCAGGTTAAGGCCGCTCGCTTTGGTTTCTTACTGTAATGAGGCTACATTGACTCCCTACCACACTGGTACCGCTTCAACCTGCCAGTCCAAACTGGAAAACATTTTCTTGCCCATTTCTGTACCTTTCTCAGACACACGAACGCACACGAATCTATTCAGCTGAAATGTGACATTGACGCAGACACACACTTGTCTTTTTTCTATGCAGTCAGCTCACTCCCAAACACAGAGAGAGGAACACACACACACACACACACAGTGGAATCTTTTCATCTTGTAACCATGGCAGTTGGTACGATACAGTAGGAATCCAGCCGATAACAAAGTGCTTACATAACTATTGCATTGCCAAGCTCGACTCCTACCTTGCACACCTCTTTCCTTTTTTCTCTGCCTCTCACTTTTGTGTTCCCTTTCTATTTTTCTCTGTATATCTGTTTACGCCATCGTTTGGCATTGCAACAGATTCATGCACGGGAAAAGTGCACCTTGCCTTTGGATAAAAGAGCTAAATCCCTTTCTTTGGTTCCCAAGACGGTTAAATTCTCAGATTAAGGCCGCTCGCTTTGGTTTCTTACTGTAATGAGGCTACATTGACTCCCTACCACACTGGTACCGCTTCAACCTGCCAGTCCAAACTGGAAAACATTCATTATTTATCTCCTGCTGGAGAAACCAGTCATCTAAAGTCCAAACAGAACCTATTAATTTCCCTCAAAGGTAAAAGGCAACCAAAGGATTCCCGATTCTTACCTCCCGCAGTTCATGTGCCACATCTTTCAGCTCCTTGAGGATTCCTTCCAGCTGCTTGATCACCATCTTCATGTGGCTGCGGACCTGTTCTCTCTGACTGGGGGTCTCAGAGGGTTCCCGGGCTGGAGTTCCGCTCTGGGACATCCTTCACAGGCTGCTCACGGGCCGGGGTGCGGAGCGCTGAGGGCAGGGGCGAGCCGAGCCACGATCCATCTCTGGGGCCTCCGGGAGCCGCAGTGCTACTGATCCGATCTGGGGCTCGGGCCACGCGGGAAGGGTTCAACATCTTAAATATGCCTGGGCAGCCGAGAGACCTCGCTGGGTCTGGGGTCAAGCCTCCTCTTGCTGTGTACGTCGGGGCATCTCGGGACAGACGCGGATGGAAAGGAAGGTGCTGGAAACATTGAAGGACGGTTAGGCTGTTAGATCCAAGAATACACACCAAACTCCAGGATGAAGAAGCAAAATGTGCAAGAAGCGTGGCTCATTTCACCCTAGCATGTGTTTAGTGTGCATGTGTGAGTCCTTAGGGGTAACTTTGGATGGAAAGCAGTTGTCTATGATGCAGAATTCTTCTCTTCCATGAAGACATGGCTAGCAGGGTTGTATAAGCGACTGATCCACTGCTAACTCTTGTAAAATCCAATCCAGGACAAAAAAGGAAACTCCCAAAGATGCCTTCCTGTCAGAGTAGACTGAAGTGCTTCTTTGTTTCAAATCTGCAACGTTTTGTCTTTTTGTCTTGTGTTCGGAGTAAAAAAAGTCAAACCAAAAGGTGAAATATTCCAACTTTGCGTTTCCTTGAACGGAATCTGAAAGAAAAGCAGAGAGAGAGAGGATGTTAATTTAGCCAAAAAGCCACAGCGATTTTATGTGTATATATATATATATATGTTTGTCCTTGTGCATTTGTGCATGTCTGAAACGATAAACCAAGGCAACCGACGTAATGCTTTCAGAGTGATTGGCAAAACTGCAACTACACTTACAATAAGTGTTATGATGAACGTTTCACACGTAATCCCCCACGGGGTTTCAGACGGAATGGCGCATCGTTTTCTCCAGGTCAGAGAGACATTTCTCCCCCATTTCATTAAATGGAAATAGAGACAGAGATGAATCTCAATCTAGTTCCCTTTGATGTTGGGTTAAATCCAGTTGTTACCCTTTTAGAATAGCGTGGCGTTCTTCAAAAGCCATCAGAGAAGGTAAATTCCATGTCTTTTGCTCCAGGAAGAACTGGAAGGGAATAAAAGAGGATAACTTGACCCTTCAAACCGCTGCCAAAAGAGACAATCTGACACAACACCTGGAAAGAGAGGAAGGAGAGCAATTTCTCTGCTTATCTGGTAATGTCTCTCTTCCTGTCATTTTTTTTTCTCCCCCACATTCAATTTTCTTAAACACATATCTTGATTTTCTCTTTTAACCGTGTTCAAGCTTCAGTTTACTACACAAAATCAATTACAGACAGCAAAGAGAGACTAAGAAGAACTGATACAAATGAACACGCTCACCAAATTGAATCAGCCCCCGTGGAAATACACCATAAAACAGGGGTCTCTGGCACTCTTTCTCGCTCTCACCTCTCCCCTGGTCAGTAGTAGAAAGTGCGTGCAGGTTTGCCTTTCCTCCCTCCTGAGGAACAACGGGAATACAGTTTTCTGCTCGGCTGAGCTCAGATCATTCTTCCCGTTTTGTTGCGGCGTCAGTCACCATCTCTCTCACACACACCGTCTTCCTCCCAATCACCCCTACTTCTCTCTCTCCCGTTCCCACACACAATCCCACTCTATTATGTCTTTCCCTTCAGTGTCCATCCAGCCACACTCGCCCACCGTAAGAAGGAGGGTTCATTCAGAGCCGTCCTTCAGAGAGAAAGTGAAGCAGCAGCGGAGGAGGAGGAGGTGGTGGATGAAAGATTTACCCCGGGTCCCCTCTTTTCGAGCCCCCGGCAGCCTTGGCTTCTCTGCTCCTGCATGGACTCCTGGAAGTCCTCGGATGCTCTTGTTGCTGCGGCGACCACTAGCTGCCGATTCCGCCTCGTATTCCGTCTCTCGGCCGTGGAACAGACACCTCCTGTCGCCGTGACGACAGGACTGAGGGACTGACTGAGGGAGGGATGCTGCCTTTGCCTCCGATTCTAAACCCTGTGGATACACGCGCACTCTGGCACTCTGGTCCCCTCTCTATCTCTCTCGGTCCCTCCTGCCAGATGGAGGGGGGAAGAGGCTGGAGTTTATGGACAGGCTTTGGCTGCTAGTGAAGACGGCTCTCTCTCTGGCTCTGAAGGGGAGGAGGAGGGACAAGAAGATTTAAAGAGACAGTAGCAAGCTTCACACTGTATCTCTTTCATGTCTCCCTTTGTCTGTTTATTCATAGCCCTCTATTTTCTTTATGGCTGCCTATAAGCCTTCACTCTCCCAATATATGCTATAAATAGCACCTTCATAAACTGACTTAGACAAAATTGCACTGCATGATATGACATTTAAAGATATATTCTCTAAAAACTAATATTTTAGAAACATTTCAGTAAATGTATTATTGAAAACAATACTGAATTTCTTGTTGCTAAAAAAAACAAACAAAAAATTAATTCAATGTCTTATATTTTTCCTAAAAGAAATAAAGTGAAATCAAGGTATGTTATCTTACACAATTTAATGTCTTAAGAATGTGTTTCTTGTTTTAAAGGTATTTAAATATTTGGTTACACTTTAGATTGGGGAACACTTATTCACTATTAACTAAGAGTTAATGAACTCCTAATTTGCTGCTTATTGATAGTAAGTAAGGCAGTTGTTGTTGTTATGGTTGGGTATTCGGTAGGCTTATCGGATTTAGAATATGTTCATGCATTAATATGTGATTTATAAATATTAATAAACAGCCAATATGCTAACAATAAGCATGCTAATAAGCAATAGTGCACACTAATCTAAACATGTTTACTGGAAAACAAAACACTGATTAGCGAATCTTTTGTAAATAAATCTCAAGCTCAATTCAGACCCCTGATTGGAGGGTTACTAAAATGTTAAGTTCGTTCATCACTCACAGGCTCCAACAAATTGAGAAAATGATGCAGAGTAAAATATTCCTTTTTGTATCTTCCACTTTGATCAATAAAACATTTTTCCCTTCATAAACTCAGCACATTAATACAATGTGCACATTTGGCTTCAAACATATGTCTGGTTGTGTGTTTTCAGAGCACTGTATTGACTTTCCTCTTATGTCTTTGTATTTTTTCTTCTCCATAAATTTCCACTGTTAATTAAACTCAAACCACTTTGTGTAATGACTCAATTCAAACTGTTTTGCAGCTAAGTTCAGTATAGAAATGTGAAATCATCATATTTGCATATGCATTCTGATTGGCCATTTGCCTCGCATAAATTTGCATTCAGAATTCTGATTGGTCATTTCTTTCTTGCATCTATTTTACCATCCGGCCAGCAACGAGAAAAGCCTGAAACCTAAACTTACCTGTAGAAACAGTCGTTTGCTGTCTTGCAATGGCTGATATTCCCTTCAGGAAATGCAAATCTAGTTATGAGTTGATTATGCATTTAGATGTGGCTTAATTAAGGGCTATTGATCTACAGCTGTGAAGAGTGTGATTGGTGAATTCTCCGTTTACAGAAGCAAATGTGTCCCAAAGGCAATGTGCTTTGCGTATCTGTGAAATAAGATTATCTGTAATGCTTCGGGTGCTTGAATTCGCTTATACGTAAAGCCAGTGTGTGTAGCACTGTGTGTGTGTGTGTGTGTGTGTACGTTCACATGTAGTTTCAGAGTGTGTGTGTGTGTGGGGGTCTGTGTAGGTTGATGTGGCATTATTCTATGTAGAAGCGTGTAGGCTTGGAGGAGTTGCATTGCACAGAAAGATGTCCTTGCGATATGCCTTTAAAAGTCATCGATCATTGCAAACTCTCTTAAACACCTTTACAGCCCTGTTTAGCGTAATTTGGCATCTAATGAACACTGATAACGGAGCACATTTGTAACTGTTGAAGAATCGCCGACACTGTCGTCTCCGTCCTCCTCCTGCCGCGATGGTATTTCTTTAACGCTAAGGTCATTCTGACTGCCGTTTTTACTAGCCGAGCTGGATAGAGGCCAAGGAAATATCAGCCCCACTTAATATTTCTGTCCTGGATTTATTACACCTGGCCCGATTATGGAGAAGTTTTATAGAACGCAATATTTTTCTAGCAGGGCTGCACGCTCGTGCTTTCACAGGTGTACCTCCAGAGGAATTCACTCGGGTAATGTGGTACTACAGAGAGCGGGTGAGGGAATAAAGTGAGCGAGGAATAAAGAAGTGTTCGGGAAGAAGAAAGCGGCCCGTGGGGGTTTATTTGACCACTTCTGTTCACACAGCAGTGAGTAATCATACCCCAGTTATTTGATACTTCAAGATCTAGTATCTTTTTATTAGACGAGTCAGTATTTGGCTGGCTCTCTGTGTGCTGAGATACGGCCGCTGTGTCTCTGTTTGTGTGTGAGGGTAAAAGAAGGATTTATTTTTTCTCATAAACCAAAACTTGAGGGATCCAACTGGTCGATACAGGCGTTCTCGGCCTGTTTCTTCGTCAAAATAGCCACCTGTCCATCACAGCTAGAGTTCACTATTGGACAGGAACTGCATGCTTATCACTGCTATGTTAAAACACATGTATGAGGCATATAAAGCCATCTTCTTTTACTTATTGGAATCTTGTGATTCTCCTCTCCACAAGGTGGCACAGTGGTGTAGTGAAGACCCTGGAAACTAACAAAAGAGCAACACAGAGGCCACACAGGGAGGGCCTGTGGAAGAGTCTCCATCTGTCCTTTTATAAGAATGTTAAGAAATCATTTTGTACATTTATATACCATTTTTAAGGATGAACAGTTTGGCTTATAAATAAAATAAACATAAATAAAATATCTGTGAAGCATAGGAGTATTAGAAAGTCTCAAAACTTTACTTACATTTGAGAAGTATCCTATTTGCATTTTTGGTTTCTTTTCATTTCACACTACAAATACATAGCACGGGTTATTATAGTTTTACTAAAGGCTTATTATAGTAAAACTAAAACCATAAAAAGAAAAGTCGTTACTAATTGTGTTTTATGGTTATATGTATATATACAGTATATATATATATTTTTTTTTACTCTTATATTTCTTTCTTTTTTTAATATTTCTTTAAAAATATTTTATTAAATATATTATGTAAATATTTAAATTAATTTATTGAAATGTTTTTTTATTAAAACACTTAAAATGTACAAAAATAACTAAAACGAAATTTAAAAAAATGAATAAAACAGTCTGGCTACTATCGTAACCTCGGTTTCCTGAGATAAGAGAACAAGCGTTGCATTGTACGCTTATGTGAAGCCAAGTCACCAATATTCAGCCAACAATATTGCCAGAAATTAAATGTCTCAAACTAAGCAAGCCAAAGGCGACAGCGGCAAGGAACCAAAACTCCATCAGTGACAGAAATGGAGAAAAAACCTTGGGAGAAACCAGGCTAATTCGGGGGGCCAGTTCTCCTCTGGCCAGACGAAACCAGCATGGCGTGGTTTAATTCCAGGCTGCAGCACAGGTCAGATTGTGCAGAGGACTCGTCTGGTTCTCGTGGTCTTGTGCTGATGGTCATCGAGGTGACGAGGTCTTCATAGGGGATCTGTTCACGTTCGTGTAGCTGCACGAACAAATGGCGCTTCAACCCTCTAAAAGGGGTGGAGCTGACTGCTATATAAGTCGGCTCAGAGAGCCATTCATCAGAATCTTTCGACTGATAGCGGCAGTCATTGACTTGCGTGCAGCCTTTTAGTACGGCAGCTTACGCAACGCTTGTTCCCTTATCTCAGGGAACCGAGGTTAAGAAAGTAACTGGACTGTTCCCTTTCAAACGGTCTCTCCCATTGCGTTGTATGCTTATGGGGAACGCATCCAATAGCGCTGAGCTATAAGCTAGTTCAGGACGAAGCCGCTCTGCGAGCCCAGTCCTGGAGCGCCGTAGTGAGGGCTCCTAAAAAACATGAGCCACATATGAGACCCAAGCCATGAACTTCCATCATACAAACACATTTACACACAGAAAGCGTGGTATACTGCATGAACATGTTTTACCAGGCCTGTTTTCACTTCATAATAGCTCAATAAATTCTGATTGGACAAGGCACTTTAGTTAATGGCCATAAATATATCTCACAAATAAATGCCAATAAAAGCATTCCTTTGACTGCACATTCTCTCTCTCTCTCTCTCTATATATATATATATATATAAATATAAAAAAAAAAAGGGCCTGTTTTCACTTCATAATAGCTCAATAAATTCTGATTGGACAAGGCACTTTAGTTAATGGCCATAAATATATCTCACAAATAAATGCCAATAAAAGCATTCCTTTGACTGCACATTCTCTCTCTCTCTCTCTCTCTCTCTCTCTCTCTATATATATATAAATATAAAAAAAAAAAGAAAAAAAAAAAACTAATGACACTGTAATCAATGTAATCATCCATATATGCATATAGCCACATATGGTATACATATACCTATATTTATAATATTCATGGACTAAAACTTTTTTGTTTCTCTCAAATGTTGTTAATATGTAAATATTTAGGGTTAGGACATATAAAGCAGAATTAATGTCTTATTCTGCACGAGCATACTCCTACCCTATACCTAAACTTACCTACCTTGCTAACCATTAATATAGAGCAAATTAGCAGTTTGTTCAGGGAAAACTCTTAGTTAACAGTGAATATATGTTCCCTAAAGTGTTACTGTTAGGCTTAGGGTAGGAAACCATTGGCTTCTTCTATCATACTGCTGTATGAACGCAATAAGCCACCCAAGACCATGCATTACAGTGACTTTACCACGGTTAACAGGGTTTTACAGCACTATATTCCCCATGATGCAATCACTTTAACGCACATCCTCCAGCAGCTTATTGCTTTACTTGACCTCCTCACATTCACAGACATCAAGCTCACTGCTCATTACTTTCCGTGTTTGTCAGATGAATGTGAGCGTGAGAGGCTTGTCATGGTGGACTTAGTGATGATGTGATGCTTTACCCTCCGTCTGGTCTTCTTCACAAACCGCATTTACTTCAGCCTATAGGTCGCTCAGCCCATTATTTCATTTACCCACTCGCTCTTCTTCTTCATAAATGATCATTGTGTCCTGCTGTCTCTCTCAAACACATCTTCTCAT